GATACTTGGAACTGATTCTCCTTAATTTGCACATTGGAATGTCAGATTGGCCATGAAAGGGAGGTTGCCGTTTGTCTTATGCAAAAATTCATAGACCGAGGATCAGATTTGCAAATCAGATCGGTTGTTGCCCTTGACCATCTTAAGAACTATATATATGTTGAAGCAGACAAGGAAGCTCACGTGAAAGAGGTATTTGAGTGTTGCCCGGTACACTATATATTTATCTTGAGCACTAGTGATTGTGTTCAGTAGAGTTGTGACTGGGTATGAAGACAATACTTATGTTGTTTCTTAGGCAATCAAGGGCATGCGGAATATATATGCTAATCAGAAGATCACACTTGTCCCTATAAAAGAAATGACTGATGTCCTTTCTGTTGAAAGCAAAGTGATTGATCTATCTCGGGATACCTGGGTTAGAATGAAAATCGGGACGTACAAAGGTGATCTTGCTAAGGTATGATCCTCTTTCATGTGTTGTCGATGGTAAAAATTATCCATAGCCTGCTGAAATGCAAGTCCTTTGCAGGTGGTTGATGTTGATAATGTGCGTCAGAAGGTCACAGTCAAGTTAATCCCAAGAATTGATCTGCAGGCTTTAGCTTCTAAGCTGGTATGGATTCAAGTCTATGCTTAAGAAAAAGACGGTGCTATTTGTGTTTGGTATAGAGTAATTGATAAACTTAGCCTGTTAAAGATAATTACTGACTGTCCTTGCATTCTAAGGTTTCCAAGTGTGCTCGAGTCATTTAAACCATACCAATTATTTTGGCACCCTTATGCTTGACTAATTGCAGGATGGAAGAGAAGTTGCGAAGAAAAAAGCCTTTGTTCCACCTCCACGTTTCATGAACATTGATGAAGCTAGGTACTTCGTTTGAAGCTGTTATTTGTACTTTAAATTTATAATACTGTTATGGAGAAGGTTTTTAGTTCTGGACTGTTAAAATTTGTTACATGCTTGTAGGGAATTGCACATACGTGTTGAGCGACGGCGTGATCCCATGACGGGCGATTACTTTGAAAATATTGATGGCAATCTATTCAAAGATGGTTTCCTGTACAAAACAGTATCATTGAAGTCCATCGTTACTCAGAATGTCACACCAACTTTTGACGAACTTGAAAAATTCAATAAACCAAGTGAAAATGGAGAGAGCGACTTTGGTGGCCTGTCAACTTTATTTGCAAACAGAAAGAAAGGTCATTTCATGAAGGGTGATGCAGTTATTGTTATCAAGGGGGATCTCAAAAACTTGAAGGGTTGGGTCGAGAAAGTAGATGAAGAAAACGTCCTTATCAAATCAGAAATGAAAGGTCTCCCTGTAAGCATCCTTATCTTTGGCTTTTCATAACTGCTTGCATGTTTCTAAAATTATCCAGCCAGAATAAGGCTAAGCATGACACTTGTGTTGCAGGATCCACTTGCTGTACACGAGAGAGAGCTCTGCAAGTACTTTGAACCTGGAAACCATGTGAAGGTTGTTTCTGGGACTCATACAGGAGCAACAGGCATGGTTGTCAAAGTCGATCAGCATGTGCTTATCATTCTATCTGACACAACCAAAGAACATGTAAGCCAACTGTTGTATATGGATCAAGTTTATTTCTTACTAGTTGGGCAACTAAATCCTAAGAGATAATATACTTGTAGGTCCGCGTCTTTGCTGATCATGTCGTTGAGAGCTCAGAAGTGACAACTGGTGTTACTAAAATTGGGGACTATGAACTTCATGACCTTGTGCTTCTGGAGTAAGTGGAATGCCTAATCACCTTGAAGTGATGCATATTTCTCATTTACACTTGTATGAAAGCTTTATTTATTTGATGCAGTAACCTGAGTTTTGGAGTAATTATTCGACTAGATAATGAAGCTTTTCAGGTAAATTGTCAACTTTCCAACAGTACCACTATCATCAAGTCTACACATAACTGCTAGAATAATGAATTGTTCTTTTGGGATTTGTTTTGCTATAAGCACGCAGTGGATCAAGGAATAACTTTTTTTTAATGTCCATAGGTTCTTAAAGGGGTTCCTGACCGACCAGATGTTGCCCTTGTCAAACTCAGAGAAATCAAATGCAAAATTGATAAGAAATTCAGTGTGCAAGATCGCTTCAAAAATGTGATTTCTGTGAACGATGATGTTAAAGTCCTCGAGGGTCCGAGCAAAGTGAGTACCTTTGCAGTCTGGTTGTTGTTGGTTACCATGCTCAACTTTACTGACCTCGTTTCAATTAATTTGTATCTGATAGGGTAAACAAGGTCCTGTGAGGCATGTTTACAAAGGAGTCTTATTTATATATGATCGGCATCACCTCGAGCATGCTGGATTTATTTGCGCTAAATGCACATCATGCATTGTTGTTGGTGGATCACGTTCTGGTGCTAATGGAAATGTAAGCATCTTTTCATGATTTGGCCCTCTTTTTTTGTTATGTGTTACTGTTGTTTCACCTTATCTAGCAAATTTTCTACTCTAGGGTGGTGATTCAAGGTTTGGCAATTTTAAGGCACCCCCAGTACCCTCATCTCCAAGAAGATTTCAACGCGGAGGCATGGCATATAACTGTATGTTCAGATTTCTTCTTTCTATTTTTGTTATGAGTAAGAGTACCTAATGTTTTGTTTTGTTGATATATGTATTCATTACTGGTTCGCTGCTCTCACTATTTATCCGGGATGTTTTAGTCAATTATTTCCACTATGTATATGGCGTGTACTGTTTTCTGGTAGTTCATGATTCAATGCTTCAAACCAACATTGCTTTGCCATCTTTTCTGAATTGGTGGTACATCTGGTCTAGGTATAGTTGTACATACTCTTATTTGTATCTTTAAATGCAGCTGGAGGGAGGCATGGTGGTGGAAGAGGAGGGAGAGATGATTCTTTGTTGGGTACTACTGTTAAAATCCGTCTAGGACCTTTCAAGGGATATAGGGGACCTGTAGTAGAAGTGAAAGGAGATAATGTGCGTGTAGAACTTGAGATGAAGATTGTGACAGGCAAGTTCTTGTATTCACTTCTCCACATGTGAGTTGCATGTTGGATGGATTCTAACAATAGTTGTATATGCAGTTAAGCGGAAAGAAATATCAGATAATGTGAATGTGACAACACCTTCTCGGTAATATACTAATTTATCTCAGTGGTTAATTTTGACTTTAATCATCATATAAGGTAACATTGATTATATCATGTGTACTATACAGAGATACATCTCGGTATAGTATGGGAAGTGAAACACCTATGCATCCTTCCCGGACTCCACTTCATCCTTATATGACTCCAATGCGGGACTCTGGAGGTTTGTTTGCTAGCTCTTTCACGGCTTAAGATCCAATATGTATTCATTTTTTTATTGTGCTATGACACGTCCTCTGTAATATATTCATTTGACATAGCTTTTTGGTGATGTTATGTAAATGTCAGCTACACCCATCCATGATGGAATGCGGACACCAATGCGTGATAGAGCTTGGAATCCTTACACGCCTATGAGTCCACAGAGGTAAGTTTGTTGTCGCATTTTTAGTTTCAGAAGTTGATCTTCTCTCTCACCTCTCTTCTGTTTCCATTTAGTGTTGTACTGATTTTGCATTAATGTTAGGCTGTCAGTTCTGTTATACAAATATGACTACTGTTTCAATATTCCCAGAAATTGTTAACACATTTTGAGAATGGTAAATCTTGATTGAAGAATAAACTTGATCATCTCTGAAATAATGGTTGTTATGGCATCAGGGATAACTGGGAAGAGGGAAATCCAGCATCTTGGGGAACGAGTCCTCAATATCAGGTAAGAATCATCCATCTATGGTTTTGCATCCAACTTTGTTATTGGCTTTAAAATATCTCTGAGTCTGACATATGTAGTCTTGTGTTGATTGCGAATTAAAATTGATGGTTTGGCACTTTGTTTTCAGCCGGGAAGTCCTCCTTCACGGGCATATGAAGCACCAACTCCTGGCTCAGGATGGGCTAGTACTCCCGGTGGTAGTTACACAGATGCGGGGACACCTAGAGATCATAGTTCAGCCTATGGTAAGATGCATGTAATCATTTTCAAAATATTGACTGTTGTTACTTGGCCAGTCTTTTTCTCACATACCTTGTCATGCAGCTAATGCCCCAAGTCCTTACCTTCCATCTACACCTGGGCAACCCATGACACCTAGCTCAGGTTCTTACCTACCTGGAACTCCAGGAGGACAACCAATGACTCCAGGAACCGGCCTCGATGTCATGTCTCCTGTTATAGGTATTGTTTATTGTTGGTGTATAGATTATAGTCATCATAAGGATAATTGTGTAGTTTTTTCTGCTTAGTCCCACCATGCATCTCCCGTGGCTCAACA